CTAAAAGTCCAGTTCCTCTCCTCCCCTATAGCATTCATACACCCAGGTCAGAACACTGCTTCCCCCTCATGGAGACAAAAATAAATCTTAAAGAATGGATAACTAAAGATAAAATAGATAAAACAGTAAGACCTATCCCAATACCAATACATCTCAAAGATCCTACTGTTTTTCCTTAACAGACCATACCCTTTAAGGCCTAAAGTTAAAAGAAGACCATTGCCTATATTCAGTCATTTAAGGACACAAGGTCACTCCAAAAACACTACAACATTCCAATCTTGAAATTTCAAAAATCCAATGGAAAGTAAAAGTTGGTACAAGACCTGAGATTGATAAATGAGGTCATAGTGCCAACCTACCTGGTGGTGCCTAACCCAAAAACTCTTCTCAGATCCCAAAAGATGTCAGCTGGTTTTCAGTGTTGGGTTAAATGATGCCTTCTTTTATATTTCTTTACATACAGATTCCCACAACTAATTTAGACCATGCTTTCTCAAGGCTTCAGGGACAGTCCTCATCTTTTTGGTCAAGTGCTTTCCCATAACTTGGCATATTTTAAATTTTCCCAAGTCTTGTCTTACAATATGTAGATAATACACTGTTACGTGTACCCCAAACAGTCTTTGCCCTTTCCCCTCTCATGGCAATAAGGAGCAGCTCTTTAGAGTAGGGGATTTTATAGACAGCTAAGTTAGGTAGCAATATTATAGGCAGTCAGACAGAGTAGGCCCTGGAGTAAGTCAGTGCAAAAGATACATCACAACTGTGCCTAGGGACATGCCTAAAAAACATTAAAGTCACAATAGTCAGATTTATGTACCTCCCTCACGGATAAAGGGAAGCTTGAAATTATTGGTACTGATAATATTTTAATAATATTTTGACATGATAGAGAGACGAAGAAAACAGAAAAGAGGCCTTTATTGCGGGCACAGGAGAGCTGCAGAAGAGAGGCATTCTCAGTGAGAACAAAGAATTGGAAGTGTTTTTATCAGGTTTGGCTGGCGGAGGAGTTTGGGAGGTGGACAAAATGACATTAACAGCTGATTTAAGGAGCATCTGCATGTGCAAAACAAGAAACAGAAAGATTTACTGGGGTTGGGGGGAGCACTTGGGTGGTTGTGGAATCTTGGGATTGGAGAGGACTCCATGCACATGCAAAAAGGGAGCCAGAGGTTTATCTCTGGAACGAGAAGGAGAACATAGAATTTCCTCTTAGAGAGATAAATTGCTTCTCTGGGCCTGGTACCAGGTTAGATGGATGTCATGTTAGAAATAGCTAAGCATCAGGTTGGCAGAGTCTTTCAGCACCCTTTTGAGATTTCTCACATAAATAAATGATTATCTCATTAGGGGATCTACTTGTAATCTTATTGGATCATCATAATTTTGATCAATTATGTTGTTCTATAAAACTTACTCTGAGAAGTAGGCTTATTGGCAACCCATCCAGGACTCCTCCTATTTCCCTGAGCTATTTCTACTCTACATTCCTTTTCCCCAAAATTTTTCCTACTCTTAACCTCTGTTGTTCTTTAAAAGTCTTTCTTCAACTTCAAGGAACACAAACTTGGCATATTGAACATCTAGCAGGTTGGGAGTTACATTAATTCCCTCTATATCCTTCAAAGGTCCTGTGTCACTAACAGTCAAACTTGCTGATAACTTGGTGGCTGCATCATTGGCATAGATTAGCTACTCTCTGCTTGCAGTAACACACTATCCTAGATGGGGTAGCTTACAAAAACCACAAATTTATTTGTAAAAATTCTAGAGGCTGGGAAAACCAAGATTAAGGCAGTGTCTGGTGACAACTCATTTCTTGGTTTATAGAAGCCACCATTTGACTGTGTCATCATAGGAGGCCAGGGACAAGGCAGTCTTCTGGACTTTTTTAAAAATAGCACTAATTCTATTGATGAGGCCTCCTCGTTTGTCTTAGTTACTTTTTACTCGTCACTGAGACAAAATACCTGAAGCCCACGTTGGGAAAGGAAAGGTTTATTTCTTACAGTTTTTGGAGGTTTCAGTCCACACTCAGTTGGCTCCAAGGCAGGCGGGCATGGCTGGGCCCCAGTTCATGGTGGCTGCAAACAGCAAGCAGGAACCAGCAAAGAGCAAGATACACCTTCTTCCTGCCATTACATCACATCCTGGCTCCACCCCTTTGTGGGTGGAGCACTGAACCATCAATCCAAGCACTAGACAGTGAACCATCACAAACACACAATGCAAACTCATGAGGCCTGGGGGACACAGACATAAACCATGACATCCTTCATGACCTGGTCACCTAACAAAAGCTGTGTGTTCTAGTATCATCACCTCAAGTTAGGATTTCTGCATGTGATTTGTAGGGGCCAGATAAAGATTCGTTCCATAACAGCTAAAAAAAATTCTTAAAACACAAAATTTTCCAAATCCCTTGATAATATTATCCTCTGTTCCTTTAAAAATGGCTGACAATTTAAGGATTCCTGAGTGCAGTGATACTGAAATTAAGCATCATGTTCTGATTAAAAAAAAAAAAAGCAAATACACAAGCGAGGTGGTCAAATACTTATTTTGTTTTTAAATTTTTATTTATGTTTGCTATGCCGGGGATAGATCCCTGGGCCTTGTGCATGCTAGGCAAGTACCCTGCCCCTGAGCCACTTCCCCAACCCAAAGTGCCGGTTTTGATTGCTGTATTTCCCCTCCAGGTTCCCTGCTTTTTCCCAAAAGTGAGTTTCTCATGAAACTGACTAAAATGGTGGAAAATTAAAGCAGTGTCACTGTCAGGTGGCTGAGATGGAAAGATGCCTGGAAAGGAAGGAAGAAAAACAAAGAATTGATGAGCATTTTGAAAGGAAAAACACTGCTTTTCTGCTTATAAATAGAATTAATGCAGAGATGGAGAAGCATTTTCACAAGCTGCTAATAAAAATTACTGTGAGAGATTGTCACAACATATATTAAAATTTTAAGTGCACATAAATTTCAGGCAAAAACATTCTATTTGGAAATTTATTTTAAGGAAATAATATTCCTTGCAAAGATGAAGTTATTTTATGTTAAATGGAAGATTGACTAAATTACAGTATAATCATGTAGTATAATACTTTAGGCAGTTAAAATTATTGTTTTCTCAAGAACATTTAATGACAAGAAAAAATGAAAGTAAATATCCTTAAGTTGGAATAGGTTATAAAATGTTATGAATAGTATCATTAAAATCAAATATTTGTTCAAAAGTCTATCTATATCTATCTAGCTATAAATAGATAAAGAGGTGGTGAGAGGCAAGGGAGAGGGAAGAAGAGAGGGAGACAGGCAGTGAAAGAGAGGAAAATAATTACATCGATTGTGCTCATCCATATTGTCTGAATTGTACTTTTTACATATTTCTACCAGGGCCACATATGACTTTTTTTTTTTTTTTGTACCAGGGATTGAACTCACTGAACGTTTGCAAGGCAGGTGCTTACACCACTGAGCTAAATCCCCAGCCCTTTAAGATTACTGTTTTTATTTTTTACTTTTTATTTTTTTTGGTACCGGGAACTGAACTCACGGCCTCACGCTTGCCAGGCAGGCGCTTATGCCACTGAGCTAAATCTCCGGCCCCGATTATTGCTTTTATATATGTACTTTTTTTTTTTTTTTTTTTGTCCCAGGGATTGAACTCACAATCTCGTGCTTGCCAGACAGGTGCTTGTGCCACTGAGCTAAAGCCCCAGCCCCATGACTTTTGTAACTAGAAAAAAGTCAATGGTATTTTTTAAAAGCTCAATGCTCCAGTTCATTTTTAAATATAAGTGACTTCAAGCTTTGAAGGATAAAGGGTTTTCTCCCTTTTTCCTTATCATAGAGTGTCGACAGCAATATCCAAATGCTGTTTGAGATTCAGCTTGAGTTTTGAGGAGGACACAGAACCAGCTTCTGGAGTGGACCACAGGTGGACATGCACCTTATGTCCCTGTCATTTTCTTGTCACTGGGTCAAAACACCCAACACCCACAACTTAAAGAAAAAGAGATTTATTTTGGCTCACAGTTTCAGTCCATGGGCAGCGGGCTCCAAGGCTGAAGTGGCATATCAGAAGGGCACCACAGGGGGAAGGATGCTCAGTTCATGGCAGCCAGGAAGCAGAGGGAGAAAGCAGGAGCTGGGCAAGAATGTTCCTTCTAGATCACGTCCCCCACTGACTCAGCTCCAAAGAGACCCCACCTTCAACACCACATTCAACTACTGAACTCACCAGTGAGTCCACTGAGGAGCACAGCACCCCAAGATCCAATCACCTGACAAATGCATGAGACTTTTAGGGGACATTTCAGGTCTAACCCCAAACACCTTGCAACTTGTCTTCCCCTTCTCCCCAACAGTGTTCTCCTAGTGTATCTTACTTTCCCAGACACCCTCACTCTTAAGGCTTTTTACACATCCATTCAGCCTTCCCTCAGTCACACACATGCATACACCTGTGCACACGTGGATACACACTTGTGGTGCACACACACTCTGAGCACAGGTCTCTGGTTATCAGGAAATCAGCCATTTAGAAACTTCTTGTGGCACAGAGCAAAAGGCACAAGACAGGTGTACACCCTACCTCAATCCTGCATTCCTGGGACTGGGCAAAATCAGTAGACTTCTCCAGATCTACATCCTCTCCTTTGGAAAGTGGAGATGGTAAGACAGGTGTGGTGAAATTTAAAGGTAGCAAAACAGAGGAAAAGCACTCAAGAGATAATGTTAAAAGGACCTTCCAGCCAGGGTTACACAAGCTTTGCATCTCAGTTTCCTAATCTTAATATGTAGGAAAATATGTTCACAAACATTTTTTTTTTTTATCGGTACTGGGGATCGGACTCACGGCCATGTGCTTGCAAAGCAGGTGCTTATGCCACTGAGCTAAATCCCCGGCCCCAGTTCACAAACTTATGAGAAATATGAGAAACATTTAAGTGAAATAATATTGATTAAATTTTTCCATTTTTATTTTCTTTATGCAGTTTTGCTGGTAACTGGAATACATTCAAATAAAGAAATGATACAGAAGAGTACAAGAGCCAAGTTCAGTAAGTAAAACCACAGTTCCTCATCGGTAGAAAGCTTGTGCCTCCCATGGGGAAGGGCATTCCATTTGTCTTAGAGATTATTGGAGATAAGATTTTGTTTTGGGTTGGTTTGGGTTTTTTCTCTGTCTTGATTGTGTTGCACCTGAACTAAGGAGTGATGAATCTCATTCATCACCTACTTCATTTCAGAAAGCATTTGAGATAAAAGCTGTGACTTAGACCAAAAAGTTTGTGATTTTATTGCACTAGAAGAATTTGTGTTTTCTCAATACCGAAAAGCAAAAAGTCCAGCAATTCTGCCCCTATCCCAGCATGCCCTGGTATCAGAAGGTAAATTTTACATGTGATTTCACTCTCAGTGGACAGAAGGGGGAAAAATTCACTTTGGGCTAACATATTGATTAGGAGTAGATAGAGCAGTGCAAAATAATTGTCACATAAAAGTCAAATCTCTTTTCTCTTTCCTACAAGCATCATCAGTCTGTGATTGTATGGAAGCTCCACAATCCTCAGGGGCTCAAACTTCCGTCTTATAATTCTGTCTTTTTCCACATGGCTCTCGATTCATTGTCCAAAATGGCTCCCCCATCGCCATCCATCATCTCAGTCAGTAAAGACAGGAAGAAGAGGCAAACACTAACTCCCTCTCAAGATAAATCAAAAAAATTGAACGTACCACTTCTGCTTCCATGCCATTGGTCAGCAGTGAGGAAGAGTGGGAAATATCTTGATTTCAAACATTCACATGCTTCACTAAAAAAAGTAGTTCTATTACCAAGAAAAAAGGCTTAAGTGGATTTTGGGAAATCACTGGCAGGACAGGACACAAATGGGAAATCTCACACACATATTGTGAGCACTCTGGGATACATAAATCCATCTGTACAGGCTTAATGGAAGCTTAGTCAAGATGTGTTTATAAAGGACCATAAAATAAAAGTTTTAGATATAGTCAGTGTTCTGCATTTCACGTTCCAAAACTGAAACTTTCTTTATAGGTATTAAGTGCCTTGAAATCAGCAAAATTAATAAATTAGAATGAAAGAAAGAGATTTGCTTCATACGGTCTCTCTTTTTTTTTCTGCTTTTTTCAACCTTTCATGTGGGATTTCCTGTTGAAATGAGACCAAAAAGGCAGCCATCCATAGCTTCCTAAAATGAAATACTAAAAAGGAATCAGTTGTTTATTTATTTCTGTCAGAACCCTGAGCCAAGAGGACCGGCCCTGGGGCAGATGTGTATTCACAACAGTGATTGGGTTAACATGGAGACCGATGCACATCCAAGTACCAATTCCCGTGGGCTATTTCTAACATCTTCATTAACTCATATACAAAAATCATGAAAGGTTTCGTGATTACCATGACAACAGTTTTCAGTGACTGTGAAACTCTGTGCTAAATGACCCAAGGGCAAAACTTTCTGAGAGATCTCAGATGGATCGAATTTCTGATATGCTAAATTTTGGTTTTAGTCTCAAAGCTTCCCTTGCAATGCAGCGTACCTATATCAATAAATGCCTGAAGTCTCTTCTCTAACTAGAAACTCTGACAAATCTTAAATAAAGAAGAAAGATGATACAATGAAAGTAATGGGATATTCCCAAACCACGGGGATAACTGATTCTTGACCTCGAGGGTATTTCTAAATCATGCTCTATAGCTGGAGGCCAAAATTTTCATTTTTCCTCAACATTGTCTGCAGCTGGGTAGATAACTCATGGAAAGAAACGCATGGCATTCGTTCATTTATTGGGTACAGTCCAGTGTCAGGATGATTTTAGATACTCAGATACAACAACAGTGATCTGAACTCCTTCCTTGCTATCCCAGAGCTCACAACCTGGGTCGGAAGGAAAGCCAACAGGCAATCACTATTTGATACGTAGGTGACAGGAACAAAGGAGTGTAAGAATATGGAGAAGAAGCCACCACGGAAGGTTTCTTGGAGGAAATGACATACCCACGCTGACAAAGCAAACAGGACATTGCCAAGTGGCATTACAAACAGAAAACACCATGCACAAGGACCAGAAAGGAGCAAGAGCAAACGAGTGGTTCAGTTGGCTGGAATGGAAGAGCAGTGGAAGGTGCTGACATGAGAAATGGAGAGTAAGCAGGTACCAGATGATGACGAGTTTCACTACTGCGTTGGGGAGTCTGGGCTTCATCATGAGGCACTGGGGAGTATCTCTGTGCAGATTAATTTGGTTGCAATTAGTAGAAATCCAATTTGCTTAAGCAGAAAAGGGGATTTGGCCAGGTCATGAGGTGGTTCTTGGAGCCCAGGGCAGGAAGTACAGCTGGACTTGTTTGACTGGTCCCCAGATGGAGAAGCTGAAGGAATCAACACTTCTGTTTTTCTCTGCACATTTGCATATCTCACTTTGTTTTGCCATCCCTAGTCCTGGGAGACAGAACCTCAGTGCGTCAGCCTTTGGCTTGGCTTGAGTACGCCTTCCATAATAGAGCATCTACTTTCCCTGCTCACAGGATTATCATTGCTTTAGTGTTTAGCTCTTTCTTTCCTCCTTCCTTTTCATTTCGTTTTCTCATTTCCTCCCCCCAGCACCCACTTATTTGGTCTACCTATGAACCTCAAGGACCCTAATCGACATTGCTTAGTCCCATTTGATACCCTGTGGACCCTGAAGGTGATACTTACAAGTATGTTGACAACAATATGGCGTGCAGGTTTTACAAAGGGGTAAAACAAAAAATATTATTTATTGTAATCCCAAATATTGTGTACAGTCATCCAAGTACTGTAATCCCTTTTGTAGTCTTCCTGACAATCCAAAAAGTTATATTTATAATCCCATTGAGACGTTATTGGAATCCCAGCAAGTTAATTTTAATCTACCACCACCAATCCAACCCATGGCGAGAGTAAAGACACCAAGACATATTCCAAGTTTAGGGCAGCCAAGGGGTCCTAAACCCGATCCCTGTGAGGATGTGCAAACAAAGGGCCTGATCTAAGCCTCTCCCAGACTGTATTATTTTGTGAAGAAAGGGATGGCTCGAGGATGAGTGACAGTGAGGATGGCGGGAATTACGTGAGTAATTTGAGCTGCTAGCCAGGTAGAGAGAAAAGCATCTCTGCAAAATGCAGAAATAAGAATATGCAGAAGGACCGATTTGCATAATTTAATTAAGGTAGCAACTGAATTGTTTTTGGAAACTGTTGCTTCAGCTTCTAATATGCAAATTGTTGTGCCCTGGGGAGTCATAGCCTCTTTACCTTGAGGCTCCTACCCAGTTGACATCCCTGGAGCTGACTGGCTCTACCATCCCGCTCTGCTTATATATTTTAGAGAGAGCACTATGGGCGAATCAGGAGACTGTCTGACGACTTTGAAGATTACACACCAGTACCTCCCCTAGACTTATTTGCAATGCTTAGAGCCAATTAAAGAGAGAAGGATTGGCTCTGTACATATCAGTGTAGGGAAATAAGTTTCCAAATAATCAAGGTTGCAGAAATTGTTTTACATCCAAGGGGAGTCACTCAAGTTGTCTCCCACACAATTGAAGGGATTCTCACAGATATTCCTCAGGCTTAAAGGGGATCATTTCCAAGTCAATATTTTATTTTCATGTGAACAGTTATATTTGGCTTAATTTTATTCTACCACACTTGGTTTATTACTTTATTTTCTAAATCAAATGAAATTTGACTCCAAAATGCCAGTTTCGAGGGGCAGAGGGAACAAAATTCAAGCTCTTTATCTATGAAGGCTTCCTCCCTCCTTAGAAGGTTAATGCCGTCTAGAGGACTGAAGGAGGTCCCTCGATGGCTGTGTCCAACTCCCTGGAAAGCTCCATGGTTTCCTGGGTCGTGGCATCCTGAGAGAAGCAGGGAAGCCCCACATCTAGGGCTCCATCCTGAGAGGTATCACTCTGGGTGCTGGTCTGAGCTCAGGGTCCTCCAAGAAAACTGCTAGGAAGAGGGGACATCTTCCCACTGGACCTACCTGCCCGCTGCCCACTATTTGTGCTGGAAAGACCCAGTCCTTTCAAAGAAGGGGAATATGGAGAATCTGTCTCCCAAATCTCAGAGTGGCTGTCATCTCTGAGCAAATCTGCCCTGTTTCCTACAACCCTGAACTCCAGAAGCAGGAGAATACAAAATCCTGATCTCTTTTCTTAGAGGAGTAAAAAAAAAAAAATGTGCAATGATAATTAACTTGGTAGTGACTTCATAAATTCACTTGCTGTGTAGTCCAAGATAAAGTTTACCTGACTGTGCTAATAGGCGTTTCATCACATATTTGAGGTGACTTTTTCAAGTCACTGTCCTGTCCTGATGTTTTGGAGTCATAAATCTAACCTACTCAAAAGTACCGTAATGGTAGGTTTAATTAGCATAAATCTCATCAAGCAGTTTCTAACAAATTACCAAAATGCAGCTGCACTTTTCTTGACTCTTTAAAGCTACAGATAATGATAGAAGGGTTATGATTTTTTTTTTTGTCTTTTTCCTTTTTATCGGTACCGGGGATCGAACTCACGACTACCTGCTTGCAAGGTAGGCGCTTATGCCGCTGAGCTAAGCCCCCAGCCCAAGGATTATGAATTTTAAGGACTAACTTCATGTATGTGTACATTACACACTCAAAACAGGCCTCCACCAATCACCTCATATGTTTCCAAATACATTATGTCCACCAAAGACTTCAGGAAAAAAAAATCTCTGTTCAGCAGATTGTCTGTGCTAGACAGGGAACAACTTTTAGCCAAAAGAGTTAAAGGCATCACGGTGTTCTATGTGATGAACTTAGCAGATAGATTTCAGGCTCTTTTGTAGGACGAGCAAAAATTGCAAGCGTGCAGTACAAATGGCAAGTGAAAAGCAGATACATTTATTGAAGATCACGGGAAGGTGCTCAGGGCAAGTCTGTGCCAACAAAGGATATGGCATAAGGGGTCTGGGGTTTAGCTCAGTGGCATAAGCACCTACCTGGCAAGTGCGATTTCATGAGTTCGATCCCCGGTACC